GAAGGGCTTGATCACGGCCGTTTGGTTGGGGTTCTCTTTCTTGTTGATGTGGATGGACAGCCGCTGCCACAGGTGCTGCCCCCGGCTGCTCTTCTCGTTCTGCGCCCACGTGACCGATTTTCCGTTGGAGCTGCGGAGAGAAGGGAGACGAGAGGTGACTCCGTGAGGTCCCCGGAGCGCTTCCCCAGCGGTGGGTGCCTGTGGGGCTCGGACTGGGAAGGGCTTTTCTTGTTCTCTTGGGGGAGTAAGGCATCCGAGGACGCCAGGGAAAGAGATCTTGGAAGTGGCTTTTACTTGGTTGTTCTGAGTTAAAGGCTGTTTTCTTGCACCTCGCCTTCTGCTTATGACAACCACGAAAGTGCGTCAAAGGGAATATTAGTAAGGACAAAGGGCTATTTAAAGGGATTCTGTAGTAGTTCTGAGCCCACCCGTGAGTGCGACAGCTGGTTAGACTGCAGACCTAGAAGTGAGGGTTTGCGGGACTGTGGTTGCGTGCAGATGTGCCCGGTACAAGGCGAGGCCTTCCTAAAGTTGGCAGCATCTGAAAGGAAACATCAGAGCCAAGACCTCAGCTCAACCCAGTCATCAGAGAGAAGGGAAGGGGTAGGAGCTAAGAGTTACCAGGAAGTAGACAGTGGTTTCAATCCATAGTTTATACTGCAGGCCAATGGTGGGTGCATTTAATTAGAGATTTCTGTTGGAACTCCTGACTTTGAACATGGTGTTACTTAGTCTGGCTTATCTGATGGAAAATGCAAATTCAGTGAACACATACACCGATTTATAATTAATTAGAATTTTCCTATTTCATAGAAATTTTCCCCACATATTTATTTTTAGGCCTAAAACTTGAATAACAATTCTGTGACGGAGCCTGCAGTGGTACTGCCTTTGGCACCGAGAGTACTGCTTTCATATTAGGGTCTAGATGAGTGTTGTCTGACTGATAGGATTTCTCAGGCCCTTTCTCCCTTTTCCCTTTCCCAAATAGTCCTTTTTGGTCTCTACCCCGGGACGTGAAAGCTGCCCTGATAAAGAAAGCCTCTGATGAGGCTCGAGCTTCAGCCTCAGAGCCTGACTGTACCTTCCTTACCACTAAAAATGACACAGCAGCCCCTGAATCTACAGACTGTCTATCAAGAACCTTACCTGTGGTCAGGGGATGTGGCCTGACCTTCAGGATGTTGGATGGAGACACCTTGGTGTGATTTCCCATCACAAGGAACATGTGATCTCTGTAACTAGGGGACCTGTTGGGTCCAGATAGCTCTGTTCTAGGCCCTGTGACCAAGAGATAGCCTTGTCTGTAACAAAGGCTTTGGCCACCCCAATTTTATAATGTCAGTCAGTCATCATTAAATTTAATTGTGGGTAGGACTCAGCAAGGGCATTTTTTAAATACCTGGGGAGGATCCCAGCAGGATATTTTGATTGTCCAGATTGGTTCCAAGGATCTATGCATTTTTACAAGCACTCTGGCCCCTACTCCCTAAAGTGATTCTGCAGCAGGTGTTTTGTAAACTGAGAAACTCCAACAGGAAGTTAGCCTTTCTCCCTGGGGTCCCATTGCCCCCTTGGCCTCCTTGCTGGAGCGCTGCTCGGCCTTTGTCAGGCATAGGATTGAATTGTGCAAAGGACCTGCCAACTGCAACTGCTAGACGCTCTCTGCCTCAGACGCCCCCTCCCTTGATAACAGACTGCTGTTTCTCCAGCCCCTCCGACAGCGTGCTTCCTGCCTCTTTCCAACACTCGTTCCCATTTCTTCGTCTGTCCCTTTCCTCTTTGTCATCTTCCTTTCTCTGCTCCTTTGACTGAAATCTCATTCCGTTTAATCTACCCAGTATACTGCAACCTGGTGTCCTTCAAAATTCTGGAATGTGAGATGTCCTCCACCCCTACCCCTTTTCCTGCAAATAATGGGCAAATTATTTTCAGGTTTGGAGGTGGCTGTGCATCCCCAGTAGCAAAGGGACTCTGCCCACCTGTTAACTTTCCTCTCCAGAGCGTTACAGGGTTTGTTTTTTATGTCTTTTGCATTAACCTGACCTGCCAGCCTGTATGTTTTCACTGCAATACTTTTCTTCTTCCCAGGTGCCCACTAGCTTCTGAAACATGGCACAGAAGAAATGGGCCAGATTACATATGGGATTTAATTGGGAGGATGGTCGCGAACAACCCCATTTCTCTCTTACTGGCAGGATAAGAAACAGACAGGTCGGGAGGGGTGATTAGCCTGCGGCCCCTTTTACACAAAGCATAAGCTAGAATCTAAAAGCACAACTGGATATATTCTACCAAGCTTTACTCTAGGGAAGTTGTTGCTTCCAGCACAGAGAGGTTTTGATGGAACACAACTTTTAAAAGTGACAGGCATTGGAATCACCTGTAGCCATGCCCCCAAACATGACAGCAGATTGAAAACCTTTGGCTGAATGTGTGAGAAGGACACTCTCCTAACCAAGCCATCTGCACAAAGTACTGCCATCATTCCTGGCCATGTCTCTGCTCACAGTGTCACAGTCCGTGGTCACATGGGAGAGAGAGCAGCAGACACTCTGAACAACAATGGAGATGCACACAGGAGACTTCAGAGACTTGGAATCCAAATCTGAGCACTTCATCTCCTTCTTTGGGTCATAGAATAGTTTTTTCTCCAAAGTAAACGAGAATTCTTAAGAAAAAAAAAACTGACCTACAATATTAGCCTGTTAGTAGAATGTAGTTTCCGTGAAGACAGAGACCTTGTCTGTCCTGTTCACTGGCACACAGTGAGATCTTAAAAAAGCATCTGATGGATGAATAGGGTTCTTAAGCTAACAAACAGGGCCATTGTGTGGTTTCCCGGAAAGTACACTGGACAAAGGATCGTAAAATCTGGGTTCTAATTCTGGATCTGCCATTCTGGATGCTTGGAAAATAATAATCTCCTTAAACTTCTGTAAAAAGCAGACAGTATATCATTTGGGGAAGATTGTTGTGAGGATTAAATGAGACAGTGAAGGCGAAAAGTTCCAGTAAGGAGAAGGTATCTGAGGTGGTTAGCTTTTGCGTTCTAAGTGAATGTTATGTTTCAGGAAACAAAGACAATATACTCCAGTCAGCCCTCCTTCTTGATACCACATTCGTGGATTCGGCCCACAGCAGTCACTCCACTGTTGGCTGAATCCACGGATGTGAATTCGAGGATATGGAGGATCGACTGTACTCTTCACACTATGCGGTTTATGTGAAAGACCTGAGCTGCTGCTGGGTATTGGTTTCCTGGGGGCGGGAAGCGGGGCGAGGGGGTGGTTCCTGGAACCAGTGCAGAGTAAATGGATATGGAGATGCGTATGGTAAGGCCATAAAATACTCCTGCTTGTTCTCGCTTAACCTGACCAACTGTACCCCAAATTGGAGTTACCTAAGGTTTGATTTGCTGCCCATCTTTTCTCACCCTAGTCCTTCTCCTTGGATGATCACAGCTACAATACCAAATTCAACATTATTGCTCTTCTAAATTTTACTTCATCCTGAAATGCCGTTTCATTGTGTGTCCCCCACCCCCGCCTTTTCCTTCCTTTCTGCCTAAGTACCTCGTATCATTTTGGGAGGTTTTTCCTTAAGTGCCTTTTCTTGAAGGAAGCTTTCCTGCCCCCACGCCTCACTGGGCTAGATGCCCATAGTTCTGGCCTTGGGCACTTAACAGCTCTTTGTTGTATGTCCACCTCATCTGCTGGATGGAGTGTCGCAAAGGCAGAGACAGAGCGCTCTTTGCTTTCTGTTATATCCATTAACAGCAAGTGCACTGCCTGAAACACAGTAGGTGTTCAACGATGTATATTTTTTGGCTGATAAATGACTGAATAAATGCATTTCATTTAAAAAATCTATTTAATTTTTTTCAAAAAGTTGAATTGCTTTTCTGTTAGAATTAAGTTTTAAAAATAATTCCATGTTAAGGAAATTCTTTTTCATTTGTCTTGCGGATCCATCTACTTTTTACGTAACTCACTGTAATCATAAGCACTCAGTGTATACAGATAAAAGATATTTCCTACACTAAGTAAAAAAACCACAGATCTTGATATCTACTTGTGCAAATCACAAAGGAAGTTGTTGTTACTCTTTTTTGTTTTTTTTGGTAATTCATATATATCTGTTCTAGTGAAACTTCTCAGTCATGAAAACGAATTGAGACAGTATGGGTAGTGGACCCAGAATGAAGGTCTAGGTTCTGACCCTGATGGATGTTGGGAGAATCACTTAATAGCTTTGAGACTCTTTGCTTACTGGTGAAAAATGAACCATCTCTCCCCACCCCATAGGATTTCTGGGAGGAACCGAAAGGGTACTTTAGAAAGCTCAGCATCTCTGTGAGGAGCTATTTATCCCCATCAAACCTTCCATTCAATGGAGGTAGAATGGTGTTTATTAGTAGTTAGGCTGAGAATTTTTTTTAAGCGTCAGGATTATACCTTTGTCCTAGAGCCTGAGGCAAGAAAAAGGAAAGAGAACTTCTCCTTACCCATCTACAGCGCTTTACCTTCCCCAGCTAGTATCTTGGGCTTTAGGAAAGGAGGAAAGGGAGAGAGGATTGGAGGGAGAGGCACAGCCAATGGTTTGCTACATCGGGGAAGCAGGACACATTGGCCAAAAAAAGAAAATGAAACAAAAGTAGAAAACCTTCTTGCTCTTTGCAGGCACCAGTTATCCCTTTTGCCTAATATAATACTATGTAGTCTAATGCTCTCTTTTCTATGATGATTTGCTCTTTATTTCTGAGAAAAAAAACCAAAACCAAAACCAACAACAAAAAAGCCCCCAGCATTTCAATAATGTTATTTGAGGTTTAGGTTTTTTGTTCGTTTGTTTTTTGTTCACATTTTGGGTCTGCCAAAATGACACCTTCTGCCTTTATTCTCAGAAGTTGAATCTCCCTCGTCTTCTCTTCCATGTGGGACACGTAAATAATTTATTCATTTCAAGCAGGCTCTGAATGTCAGCTCAATGACTTCTCCCAATTTCTCTATTCAGCTGCCAAAACCTGCAGGAATCAGAGCATACTGCCGAGGCACACCATTGTCAGGAAGCAAATGTTAATAGAGAGCTTGACTGTCAAAAAAGTTGATGGAGTTTAGAATTTTTGTG